GATGGCCTCCCGTACGTCTACCGACTCTCAAGGCGCGCTGTGAATACGTGGAATAATATCCCCCCGACGCAGTTGCCGCATTCAAGAAGAAATACGACGCCCAATTTGAAACATGATTTGTACCGTTCAGGGGAGTGCCCTTGCTTCGGCGGGGGGATTGGTCTAACCTGATAACTCCCACATGTCCGGTGACTACAAAGAAGGGGTGTCCACGGATCCGTTGCCTACCCTCTACTGATGAAACATGAAATGGTTCGGAATTAAGACCAGAAATCCTGAAAAGCTGTGTTAATCTTGCCACTTCCTGGAGGGCCCCGCCTAAAAGGTATATTGACCCAGACCGCCTGGACGCCAGTTCATGACAATAGTACTACTGAAGTATAAATATTTATACACCCGTCTTGATTTACTCAAAAAATCAGGTATATTTTCTAGCGGAATTTGTGAGGATATCCTTTGTGGTCTGCTTATTGTTGCCATAATTTTATGGGTTCGTTCTAGAAATAACGTAAGGCATTGCGTTACTTAGATTTCCAAATATACTTTTTATTTGCAGTTATAACACACGTGTGTGCAAAAATCCGCGATTTTAGAAGAGAAATGCATGGCTGTAAAATAAACATCAATTATCTGAGCAACAGGAGTTGAATAAAAAATATAAATGCCTAAAGAGCATCATCGAGTTTTTCTAAATGATTTAGGCGAAAAACAATCCCAACGAAACCCCACCAATAACCCATTGGCCCATTTATACCATGCGCTGAAATTCTGTGCATATTAGAAGTCGTCGCGTATTCTTCTGGAGATGAAGCAGACTCGACTCTATTGATGAAACATGAAACATGTAAAGTTGTTTGGACGAAAAACAATCATTGGGGTTTTACTTTTTGATGAGTAGAAAACGCGGATATTTATACTGATATTATGGCAGTCTCGCCGTTTCACCCTTTCTGAGATTTAGTAGAAGAAAACTCCTGTAGTTTAAACTAATTCTTTGGTCGATGGCTAAGGAATCATTCAGGAAAGTATTGTTAACTTGTTCGCCCTGGGTGCTCATTCTTCTTGTACTATTACTAGCTGAGTCCAACACTCAAAGAATTCGGCAGAAGTATGAAAATATATTACAAACGTAACACAGAAATGTAGAACAAAAGAGGTGGGTGACTAGCTACAGTAAGATCGCATAAGCTGCAAAGTTGGAGGACGTAAAAAAGGAAGGTTGGAGGGGAAGCACCTCCACTTCGTTCGTCTTCTCTGTGTGACTTTCACCTACAAAACGATAAAAAAGACATCAGTCACACGTCCTTATGGAGCTCCCTGCTTAGTCATACACACCAGATTCAGAACTGACGCCTTTACATACTGCTTTTTCCAGCACGAGCCCTGTCCGCGGGTTTCTATTCTTTCCTCTCGAGTGTGTAGGGCTACTAAGTTTGGGGGATGATAGGGAGTGTCAAGTCCGTGGCTGTGCTTATAGATAGTGGTGAATGGTGGGCTCTCTTGCAAGGATTCGTTGCGAAGGTCATAGGTGGTGGGGTGTTGGACGTCCAGGACAGCATATGAGCCTTCCCAAGGACAGTAGAACTTGGCTGAAGTACTCAAGCGTCGAATCGGCTGGTAACGCCATAATAAATCATCCAATTGATAGGGAATGCCGTTGACCTGTCTATCGAAATAGTTCTTTTGTCTCTCGGCCTCAGCATTTGAGCGTTCGCGTGCGATGTTATAGGTAAACCGGAGAAGTTCCTTCAGTTTTCACACTTAGTCACCCGGGTGTATTCTGTGGGCATAATAGCTGGCATACGTGAGTCTTCTTGTAATCGAAAATGGGGCCCGGTGAGCACAAACAATGGGGTGTATCCGGTTGAAGAATTTTCGGTGGCGCGGTAGGCGATCATGGCGCATGAGATGCGTTCATTCCAATCGTTTGGGTGAGTCTCCCCTGCGAAGCCCTTCGAATTTGGATGAACATGTGGTTTGTACATTCGACCTGGCTATATCCCATTGGGTGACCTGGCGTCGTTCGGCTCTTTTAAATTTTAAGCTGATCGCAAGCCTCATGAAACGATCGGCTTTCGAAGTCTGTCCTGCTGTCGGAGTAGATGGGCAGAGGCGCTCCGAAACGACATATCCAATTATTTAGCACGGTTATAGTCACTGAAACTGCATCTTGTTGCAGGAGAGATACTGCTTCTGCCCATTTACTGGAGGAGTCAACCATGACTAGGATTAAGCGATGGACAGCTTTGGTGAACGGTTAAGGGCCGACGATACCCAAAACGAGGCGTTGAAAGGGAAAACTAGTAGACATGCGCTCGAATGGGAATCCTGGGCGCTGGTGGAGGGACTCGATGGCAGCGCAGGTTTTGCAGAACGTGTGATGTGTTGGCGCAGCTGTGACCACCAAAATCTTTGATAGGCTGCTGTCTCATTCTTATTGCGTCCGACGTGGCCCAGTTTACAATGCAGATCTGAGATCACCGAAGGGTCTAGTCTGCCCGAGACTACTACGCGAGTGTTACTGGTCACCTAATCTCGAAGGAATAAAAGGTCATTCTCCAAAAGGAACTGGGACCACTGGTTACCGATAGCGTAAGCTGCCTCAAACGAACCGCCTAAGTCGCTGTCTGTAGGGCCATGTTGACCGCGAGACAGGTAGTCGTAAACTACTGCAGTGCCAGTGTCTATGCTCTGGGCCACCGCAAAATGGTACCGCGTTGGCGCATTGGCTTAGGTCGCATTTACGGACTCTGTATGGTTAGTGTGATCCCGCCCAGTAAACACCATTAAAGTTGTACTCCTGTAAGATCTCCTGTAATCGTGCCAGCTGACCTTCTGCCTCTTTTGTATTACGTAACCACTGATGTGCTTTATGATCCGAGTGTACTACGGAGGGTTTGACGAGTGTTATGTATTCAAAACAGAAGGATGTTTGTAGGCAGAATGTTGTATAGGCAAAACAGAAGGGTGTCCGTAAGCAGGAGGTGTGCTGTAGGACATGTAAGCAGTTTTGTGTGTGAGTCATGTTAACACAGGGGGTTAATGGTGGGGCTTAAACGTCATTGGTTGAAAGGTAACTAGTCAGAATTGAGAAGGCGTAAAGCGCGTTAGCGAGCATAATTGCCTAGCGCGAATTATCCCGACATCACGTGCGGGCCTACATAGCATTCCTCCACCCTCAAGTGAACAGCATCTGAAAGGGGGAGAATACCGTTAATATAGAAATGAAGAGTTAACAATTGTTATAACGGATCTCGTCCTGAAAACGTTATATTGGTTTGCAGATTCGTGTCGACCTTCTCAGGGGGGTATTTTCGGCTTCTGCACCGTTTTGTAAGGCCGGTGGTTCCTCGGTCCGGATGCTAGTGCTGGCGTAGGTCGTAAAATGATGGGGAACATACTCCTCGACCGGTTGCGTTGTGTTCTG